ACACAGGCATTCTGTGCCTTGCATTACTGCATCGTGAGACAAAGTGTATACAACACTTAACATTTTAGTATTAATTACCTGTGACTCATGGCCCCTGGTTTCCTTTGTTACCACCATTATTTATATACTACAGTTCTTTTTTGTCATTTTAAAATCAATAGTGTCTGAATAGCAGTACATTTGAGTAAAAATCATAATTGGAGTTGTTTAAATTGTTCAATTTTCTTAAAGTTATAAAATGAAATAACAAAAAAAAATTTGAATCAGAGAAACTTAAAAATCTTGCCATAGTTGATGTAACACTCTGGCAAAAATAGCTCTGAGAGTTCTGGTAAATCTTTATGCCATCATTTTACTTTTTTCTACTAAATTTTATCTAATTAAAATGTAATCAAACCATATTTACTTTTATTACTTCATAAACTCCATAAATATATTTTTTTAAAAAATGTAGTTTACTTCCCTTTAAATCTGTGTGCAGCCTTATGTATATTATTCGCACCCCACAAGACAAATTGTTAGGGATAAAATGTTTTAACTGCTAACTCCAAGCGCTAGGTAATACCAAGAGCTTCATGCAGTATTCCATTCTTCAGAGCAAGTTTATGTGGTGTAGAGTTGTGCATTGTATAGTGTACACGGTATATAATCATTATCACATTTTCATCAATAACTAACTTACACCAATGTATAACGTAGTAAAGAATTTGTCTAGGACTCTACCTAGTTTAACTGCAAGCTCCATAATGTTAATTATTTTGCAACAGGATGATGTCAGAAAGAGCACTGATTGCTCTCTGATAGGTTTTGAAATACAGGTGCTTCTCAGCTTTCAGGGGGATTATTTCCAAGTTAGCCCATTGCAAATTAACAGTATCTAAAGTCCCAAATCACCTGTCACAGTTAACTGCAGAGCATCATGACTTAGCAAGTAGGTCTGCAAGCTGACAAGCACGGCACCTGTACTGTCCTGCTCACCTGGCTGGAGGAAGCTGTTAGGGAACATCAGTAGCCTGGGGAGAAAAATCAAATTTCAACGTGTGGTTTTTACTGAACATGTATCTTTTTGGAAACATTGTCAGTCAAACCACCATAAGTCAGGAAGGTTCGGTAATGTTTTCTAGATGACTGGTGCCAGTTTGCAGTGTCATCTGCTGCAAAACCTGGCCCTACTTCCATTGGCTGTTTCCTCCCGCCAGCAATGAATACCATCTTTACTGTTGTTTTACTTTAAGTGGGTAAATGATATAGCCTTTCAGTTTCACAAGGTTTTTAGCAAGTGAAATAAAAGCGTTTTCAACCTGATTAAAGTTCTTCTTTTGTGAAATTACTCTCCCGTTTTTCTCATGTACGTCGAGTGACTTCTTCTTGTTTTTCTTATTCACTTGGATGAATGCTTGTTTAAGAATTGAAGTCATCATTTATCCAGCTTGCTTCTCTGATCTAGAGTAGCTGAATGTCTCTTCCCTAGAGGTATAATCACCTTGCTTTCAGAGGAGGGGCATTGTGTTACATTAACACACTTCATACATATATTGATCTACTCTCAGTCAGGCTTGGCTGAGATAATTTCACTTGAATCGTTTTTTTTTTTTTTTTTGGTCTGGAAGATTTCTGTTATCCTATTTGAATCTTCCGAAGGACAAATTAAAGGATTTTCTTAAAACAAAGACCAACAGCTTTTGATCATCATCCTGAAAGGGCTGAACTATTTAAAACTTGGGTAGTAATGATCTTGTTATAGCTGCATGTGCTTCATCAGAGTCCCAGGTGTTCAAAGCTGAAGCAGTGTCGATGTACCTGTGCCAAACCATAGATCACAGAAATTAGAGTGGCTGCTATTTCAAGCACTTTCTGGCTTCTCCTTCTAAATGATCTCTGAGGCTGATAAGCATTTTCAGCTTGTGCTCATATGAATATTTATTGATTATGGAAAAATAATTTTCTATATCATCTCATCTGAAGTTGTCACTGTGGCAGCGTCCTCGGATTTTTTTAAAAAACTTATTTAGGACACTGTTCTTCCACTTCAGAGGTGCACAGAAGAGGAAGCCAGGTTAATGTTCCTCATACCACATTAATTTACAGTGTGCTTTGATCACTGTATGTGTATGAGAAAGTATATTTGGTGAAATGATTTTTTAAATTTCATTGATCGTTCTGTAATTACATGAATTGATCTGCATGAAATTAGGTACTTTGTATATTAGAAATGGGGTATTTATCATAGTAATGTCATATGGATCATGAGAAATCCATTCCTCTGAAATAATGAGAGCCTATTCTACCACATTGATTATCATATTACTAAAAGTGACAGTTCCTGCTTTTTTCAAAGTGTATGATGTGTTAGAGAGTGGTCAAAGGTAAATACACAGTTTCTTTGTCTATTTTCAGAAAAACCTATGAGAATAAGATCTACTGTTATCACTATGTTATACGTACTAACTTGGAGACAGAGGTGTTAGCTAAGTTACTTTCGGGCACATTTTAAAAAGTTAAGGAATACACATCAGTGCAGTATCTGAAATAGTAATGCAGAAAAAATAAAGCTGTACGTATTTGTTTTTTACATAGAATTGCATTTTTCTTTAAGTTTTATTGAAATAATAATGTAGAATTATAATAGGTAAGAAGATTTAGATTCTTCAGGGCTAAAATTTGTAGACAGTGAATTGCATGTGAGTGTGTGTATTTTATATGTGTGAGTACGTGTGTGTGCCACACACGTTTAGAATCATTAGTGTCTTCTTGAATATTAGAACGCTGATTAAGTATGAAATATATCCTGTTACATAGCATGCGATCATGGTACAATTGTTGTTTTCTTAAGCAAAATTCTACATAAGTTATAAAGTTTCATGCAGTGGGATATTTGTACTTTATGATACGATCACCTCATCATTTTTTTTCATTAAAATACAACTGGAGACACCCGTCAACAAGTAATATTTATCATTTATTGATCAGCACTCCTATAATTAACACACACACACACACAAAATTCCTCTGTATTAGTAGATATCGGCAAACGGAGGTAATTGTTTTGCTGATACAAATTATAGTATAGTGAAACACTGTCATTCATTATGTGCAAAGCATGAAAAAAGATCAAGGAATCATCTTCATCTCAATAAATCAGTAGTCTAAGAAAGGAGGACAGCCCTTATTTAAAGGGCCAAACAGTAAATGTTTTAACTTTTTAGACCACAGTGTACGTGTAGCACCTACTCAGCTCTATCGTAAGAGCAGTAAGCTCTAAACAAGTAGTAAGTGTTGCCGTGTTCCAGTAGAATTGTGTTTACCAATCTAGTGGTGAGCTGGATGGGCTCAGGAGGCACAATTTGCTTACCTCTTGTCCGAGGGCTGGAGAGCAGCAGTGTGAGTGTTAACTTTTTAAAGATGTCGGCACTTTTTAAGATATTAATGAAATAAAAAAAAAAGATATTAATGAAATAAATATTCAGAAATTTTATGATCTCTCCAAATATTTTATAGATGTTTTGCCTCCTTTTAGAGTATTTTGATAAAGTAAAATCTGACTTTCATTACATCTACAGTGAAAATAATCATTTGTCATGTTCTTTAAAAGAGTCAAAAGTATCGTAAACAATCAAATTGAAAATGAATCCACAGGGCTGGGGATTTAGCTCAGTGGCACAGTGCCTGCCTGGCAAGCGCAAGGTTGTGAGTTCAATTCCCGGTACCGGAAAAAAAACAAACAACAACAAAAAAAAAAAAAAAAAAAAAAAACAAACAAAAAAACCCCGAAAATGAATCCACAGTATCAATCCTGCTTATTAGGACTCCATTATTGACAATCAGCTCCTCAGATACCCTAAGATTTCCACTTTTCTATCACAACTACTCCACCATACCATAGCAACGTCAATAAAACATTCATAAACAAGTAATTAGTGCGAGATAGACATGTTCTGGTGAGACCAAAACATGTGGTGAACTGGATCGAGCCCATGGGCTAATGCTTAAAAAAGGTATATTTTTCCTTTGAAGAAGACCTAGGGGAATTAGATTTGGAAACACCTGTTTTCAGTAGATTTTGAAAATTTTTTGGATATTTATATTTTATTTTCTCCTTAGAGTATTTGTATTTCAAATAAGGTCAAAATAGACAGATTTTCGTGCAAAAACTACATTTGCTAGTGTATGATGTCACAAGAGAATTTTTTTGAAATCACTTTATGTGGATATACTATTCATAAAAAATAAGAGAAAGTAATTCATTGAACTGTTTCTATGCTGTATTCTGCCATCAGACGATGTGGTTTCAATCAAGAATGCATTTTATTTAACAAATTATTCTGTTTTATCCAGACTTTTTACTAAGAATATGTAGAAAATTAAAATGAATCCTCAGTATTGGCATATCCAGAAAAGTACATGTGTTATAATTGCTTTTTCTATATAGCTAAAGCTCTGAAAATATTTGGAGGTGTATTTTTAAAATCTGGAATTATAAATATAACTTGGTGACCTTCCCTAAGTGGTTGGAGACATCATGTAAACACAAAAATGTAATAGACTCTAAGTAATACTATGGACATACAAAAAGAGTGGATCATAAATAAGACCTTCTCATTGTAAACTTGCAGAGTTCTGCAAACTCTGTCTTTAGAGGGCTGTTTAGAATGTCTTGCAAATATAAATTTGAGGGAATTTCTGAGGAAAATATTTAGATGGGCATACTTCTTTATTTGTGTGTCTGTGTTATTTGTATACAATTCAAATGTATCCCCTCCTACTTCCAACTGAACCCTAATTTTAAGTAAAGTAGAAAGCACTATCTGGTATAGCTCTATCCTTCTTAAACCCATAGAATACTTAAGTGAAAAGGCATTGTGAAAGAATTTGCTGTGTGAATTGCGGCATTTTGCTTTTGAAAGGCAGAGCAGACCCTGAGTGAAATCCAGAGTGTCTTTATGCTGTCTCTGAGGGAGTGGGATCTCTTCTTATCTTGGGCTCTCTTGTTTGCTTTTCAGTTGCTGCGAATGTGGCTGTGGGAGGGCTTCTTCCCTGTGCGCTGTTGCCCATCCAAGCCTAATATGGTTAGTGTTTCCTCCCGCTTTCACGCCTCTGTGACGTCCACCGCTCTGTATGACCGCCAGCATCTTTCCTTTCTCCATGTGTGTACATTCTGACACTCAGTGCACCCGTTACACTCTCACAGTGAGAAATGAAAATGATTCCTGAAGGTTAATGCCGACAAGTGATTGCAGAGAGATTACTGAAAGTAAGATGTTACGCGTAGCACATCCTCCCTGTGTCAAGCGTTCGTACTTACGTTCTGAGGCTTTCACGTGGTTCTGATTCAGGGAGGAAGGTGTAAGACTACAGCATCTGTTCCACATTGAACATGTCACTGTTTTTGTTGTTCCATTCAGCAAAATCCATATCACACATTGAAGTAAAATGCTGCTTCTGTCCAAGTAAAGTCACCTTTTATGTCTCCCAGATCCATGCACAATGACCATAATGTACAACTGGGATCTCCTACTGTCATAATCATTGTGGATACATGTGGCATTGATGAATAAAACCACATGTAATTTTAAATGGTTTACATCATTGTATTAAGTTTCAATTATTTCAGATATCTGAAGTGATATTCCTATTTTGATACCACTGATATAAAAATTACATCTGTATAATCAGTTTCTAAATGGGATAACATTAATTATTTATAAATACAAATTTTAAATATACATCTGGGTTGTAACTGTGATATCAAGGGCTGGAATATAGGATAAGAGAACTCTCTATACAGATTTAGAGAGACTTCTACACAATAGCGAGCTACTTTGTAAAAAGTGAAACTCCAAGTGATTGCTTTGTAGATTAAAGAGCCTAAATCCCTGAAGAACCAGTCTGAGTTTCAATTTTAGTCAAATCTTGCCCAGAAAAGATCACTTAAAGTGCATTTTAGAGAATAATAAGGGTCTATGGTGGCATTTTAAATTGCTACTTGTGTTATATGGTTATAAATTAATTTTGGTTGCTTTAAACACCGGTTGTGTGGATGACCGGACACCACGTGCACACGTGGGGTGTGCTGGACGGATGCTGGAGGTCTTCGTAGATTGCACAGATGGATGGGATTCAGAGATGTTTCTCTCAGCCTCTTGAAAGTTTGTACTTGCACAATCTTGAAGTTACTAGGAAATGAAGATTTGTTCCAGGTTATTTAACTTACAAAGGAAATTTTTATACGCATGGACCTTCAGTGACAAGCCAAATAAAAACTGAAATCTAGACATTCCTAAAGTATCAACTATGACAAACTAAAATATGATTATTCTACTTCAGTCTTAAGTATAGTTGTTATATGACATAAATTATCACTGAGGTGGAATAGGCCAAATTTACATCTGTTAAAAATGGAGATTGAAACCTAAGCCTACCTTGAAGTAAGTTCCACAGAAATTTAAGTGGGAGTGTGAAGATTTATAAGCACAAGACTTAAAAAGTCTTAACAAAAGATGCCCTATAACTAAGTTGAAATATTTAATTTTTAAAATACTATCTTTTCCTACTCTTTAATTGGAAAGAAGGAAACTGGGAAAGTACTTTCTTTGCAAGGAATACACAAAAAAACCAAAAATAGATTTTTTTTCCTAAAATCTTTCCTCAAATAATGTTAGGAATTGTGCAAGAAATGTGTGTTTGGTTTTGAGCATGTGTACCTGTGAGTGAATGAGAGAGAGAGAAAGAGAGAGAGAGAGAGAGAGAGAGAGAGAGTGTGTGTGTGTGTGTGTGTGTGTATGTGCATAGAGATTATTTAGCTACAAATTCTCTTAGGTACTCAATAAAACGCTGAGTCCTCGTGGGAAGATTTATGGATGAACTGGGAAATCTGAAATCTTGTCGCCTAATTTGTATGCTTGATCATACCTGTCAATTACTATGCAAATAATTTTCAAAGAACATTATCATCATCATCACTTATGAGCAGACATATTTGCAATTAATTACAGAGCAGAGATTTGTAAACATTTTCAATCTTGTACGCTTGTTTATTTCGTGAAGTTCACTCATGAATGTATGTGTGATTAGTTCTGACCTTAATATCCTATGACGCATACTCATTACAAAAGCTCACTGCCACCCAGTGGCTGTTAGAAATACCCTGAGTTACTTTGGGGAAATACAGTTTGTGGACGTGAGATTTTAACACCTTTGACTCCATCTGTGGTCCTGCTATGTCCAAGCTTCTGCAAGGTGCTGAGCTTCTGGATTTTACTGTCATTATTTCCCAAGAAAAAAAACCACACTCCATCATTTTCCCATGGTGTGATGTACCATTTATAAAATTAAATTTGTAATTACGTTACCATCTTTTTTCCTTGATCTCAAATTGTTCTGCATTGCTGTGACTAACTGCTTTGTTATGACATCCATAGACATAATGTTAGTTTTTCAGATATTTCTGCTGTGACTGAAATCTGAGTGACAGAAGCTATTTCTAAAGGAAACTCAGAGGCCTAGGTTTGGAGATCGCCCACATTTTTAGCAGCGATATCTTCATCAGGCAAAAATGGCCTTTCCCTTTGTGCCGTTACAACTGGTTTCAGAATCAAATCATTGTTTCACTTCTGTAAAGATATATTTTATAAACAAGAAATGAATTATTTTAATGTAAATAGCTTCTACAGAACACCATCCTTTTTCATAATTCTAGTATCTCATTTAAAATACTTAGTGGCACATAATGTGAGTGATGGTTAAAGTAAATGTAGAGTATATTAAATTCAATTGAAGGCTTGGTATGTTACATATATGAACTGATCCAGTACCCCTTTCTTTAATAGTTGTAGGATCTCAGATTACAGGAGATTATAAACAGGTCTGCTTTAAGAAATGTTATTAATTTTTATACTTTCTGGTGCTTTCATATCTTTTACTACTTCTCAGAGGGGAAGAAAAAAGGATTTCAGTATTTAAAAACTGGAGATCTTTAATAGTGTTTATTTCATTCATTTATCTAGTCTATGTAGAAAATCATTCAATTTTGAAATAAATTAACTTTATTTTAAAAAATTTAAAATATTGACCTAAGATGAATTATACTTCATTTTAATGCACATAGTAAAATTTATCATAATTTTTGGAAATTACAAATAAAATTTCTCTGTGAAATAGATCATGAATTCTTTCAAATATTAGTGTATGTACATGTATCCTGCCCCCCCTTACATAGTCCAAAATGAAATAAAGAAACAAAACCCTAACCTTTGGACCTTACATAGTCCAAAATGAAATAAAGAAGCAAAGCCTCATTCAATATTTATTTCTGAAGCCTAAACCAATGGAAAACAGTGCTCATAGGCTACTTTGGAGCCATGTGGTAAATTATTACTACTACACAATGCTTGTGCTCTGAAGCGATTGACGTTCACAATCTAAATTTATTATCAAACCCTCAATTTATAAGCAGAATTCAGTTATTCACCGGCACCTCCATCTATACATAAAGAATATTGTTTATTATTTCATGCATTATGGAGATTTCAGATCTTCACATTTAGATGTGGTGTCTGGGGCCAAGGTTTTAAAATAGCATTAGTATTATCAGGAATGATTTACCCACTGCCTTAGGATAGGTATAGAGAAAATGTATTTATTTGTTACTTACCAGTAGGGTCATTGCTATATTTATGTAACAAGAATTTCTTTAGGCCTTTTTAATAAATAAATATTAACGAAGATGAGTTATGCTTTTATATACTTTATCATGTCCATTTCTATTACAAGAAATAAAAACACATTTTTTCTAGAAGAACAAGAGTATGCATGATGAGATGATCCCTCCTGAAACAAATTCTGTGTGTAGTGTTAGTACAATAATATCAAAGTTTACTGGAATTGCAGCATGAAACAAAATGAGGAAACTGTTTCTTTTCTATTCAGAAAAAAAATATTTCCAGAAAGCGGGAGACATCATTTATGTAGAACTGACGTATTTACTGACTGTTTGATGGATTAAAATTGTGCATCTGGTGCAGGTACAGATGAGAGTGAATGAGTGTGCTTCTTTCCAATGCACTGTTAAGGAGGCTGATCCGCAGCTTGGGTGCTAAGCTCTGCCAGCTGCACTTTCTCTTGCTGTGTCTCATTGAGGTGTGTTTTAATGATGCTTTGGGGGTCCAGAACTTAATATTATATGTAATTGTGACATGTGGCCATACATGTTACAGAGCTCCAGAGCTGCCCATGGTGAAAAATAACTGTTCTATTGTCATGTGGATTCTCACCCTAGATAATCCAACATGTACTGCTCCTCAGCAAGGCATTCCCAAATCAGTTTTTTGATGAGATTCAGTTTTATTTCCATTTTCACATGAGGAATTTGCATGAAATTTAAATATCTAAGGGGCTTATTTAATGACAGTGGCTATTGCAGGATACCATTTTTAAATATTGTCATTTATTTCTTTTGACATTGAGAAAGTTAATGGTATCATGAATGTTTGTTTATTAATTTAAGCTGCAAGAATTCATATACCTCTTAGGTTCCTTTAGAATTCTACTAACAAAGTCTTTTGTCAGTATTATTTACATAACATAAACCTGAGGATAATTTCCCACATTTGTGTGTAGAAAACTGTTAAAAAGAAATACCAACAACTTCTTGCTAGAGGAACACGCTTTAAAGACTGAAAAAATAATGTGTAGCAAAATTATAAACAATGTATTAAAATATTTTAAATCTTAGCTGAAGAGATCAAGTACAATTTCAGGAAAATATCATAAATTCCTTTTTCTGTGCATTTCACTGTGAAGAGGTGAATTAAGGTGTCTTAAGGAATTGTGAATGATAACATGCATCTAAATACAGAACTAGGAATAAAATAAAATAAAAACTCATCAGGTTCTTGCTGTGCATCTTTCCTCTCTAAATAGCATTCTATGTATTAAGTATATTATTATGTTTACTCAAATATTTAGTAGCTGAACCCATAAATTGCAAATTCCTCAACATGATCAAAATAATTTTGATTTTGAAATAGTGTCCTAAGGTCAGTTTGTTAATGTGGTAATATATAAATAAGTACACACTAGAAAATGACATAATATAAAGTACATTTTATTTTTATATCAAATTATGCTAACATTTTAAATATCCCAGAATATATAACCGAGAAATTATCTGTTGGTAAACATCTACTGGGTGCTTCATTTACATTGTACAGTTGCTTTCAATCAATTTTGTTATGAAAATACTTTGTCAGTCTGCCATTTGGCTGTTTTTGCTTAATGCAGTCATAAATAAAAATTTTATCTGTAATGAACTCAATTTTGTGGTGGGATCTTATGAATAGTAAAATCACTTCCTTCCAGTTTCACTGAAAACAAATATTTTCATTTTTGCCAGTTGTTGAATGTTACATGGTGAGTCATGTACATCAATTCAGTATTCATCAGCATAGTCCTGTACCAGACCCGTCATTGTGTAGACACGATCAAAGCACCATTCGCTCATTCATTTATTCATTCATCAATGTGACAATATTTTTTAATGCCAACTTTGAAATAAGCGCTAACTCACTGCTAGGGTTTGTAGATGAGTACTGGTTATGGATATTCTGGAAGCTAATAATACCATGTGGTGAGTTTAAAACCACTCAAATGACTGTACTGCATTATAAAGTGGAAATTATACCATAAGAGAAGTAAAGAAAGCTACCGTGTTCAGAGGAGAAATTTTCTATTAAGCTGGAATATCAAGAGGAATAAGAGAAGGCAAAAATTGGACTGAACTTTGGTAATTGGAGTTTGTTAGGAAAAACATTCTTGGATAAAGAACTAATACGTACAAATGTATGAAATCATGTAAAAAAAAGTCTTGGTAATTTTAGAAAAAAATGTAGTATGCCTGAAGGAGATGGTGCAGGAAATGTGTTAGAGGTATAATTAGGAAGTTTTGCTGCCTTATCATACTGAAGGTTTTATAATAGGAAGCTAATCCAATAGGAAATCATCTTGTAGAAGTGACTTGTCTAGAGCCATGAGCAAAGCTGGGGAAAGGAACTACAGGATGGGGGGAGGATTACCATTCTGAAGGCAGTTGTAGTAATCCACATGAAAAATAACTAGGCCTTAACTGAGGAAGGAGTGGAGTTAATGAAAAAGAAGAGCTGCACTGTAATGTTTATACCGCATAATGCTTGGACTCTGGTGACTAATTTGTTGAGAAGCATAAAAGATTAATAATGGTTGGGCCTCAAGGCCATGGTGGTGTTCATAACCAGAAAAAGCAGAAGAGAGAACATGGTGGAAAGAAGGAAAAATACACTAATTTCTTTCACAGGTCCATTGACTTTGAAGTGCCAATGGAATAGCTCTTAAAAATGTATCAGAAATAAATATAGTTTTCAAAGGAATCAAAACTAGACGGTGAAAGTTATTTGATAAATTAATGGAAGTGGATGGACTAAGCAGAGGGAATCCAAGGAATGTGTGCAGATCTTTGGATGTGCATCAGAACAATAAGTAAAGATTTTAACTCATCAAGAATGAATAGAAAGTAAGAGTCATCAGATTAGAAGTTGAGCTGCTATCTGTGATCCTTAGAAAGACAGATTTTGTCAGGAGGGAAAGCAGCTTGCAAAGACTTGCCAGTTAGTGGGTAAAGAAGGAAACAGGAATTTTGGAGCAGTATAGAAGTGGTGCCAGCCGTGGTGAATTCCACAGAGATCTGTGTAGACTGGCATGAACACCAAAGACTCCAAGCTGCAGAAATGTTCTGTGCAAAAGTCAGAGACCATGAGACCAGAGGCACAAGCCAGGGAGCTCATCCTAAAAGAGGCTGTGGCCTCTGGCTTGCGGGTGAGGTGATAAGAGAGAAAGGAATCAGAAAAATATCTGTGTATTTCCTTTGCGGAAGAGAACTTTAAAAGTAGCTTTGAAGGCTTCTGACTCGGTGCAATCTAGGCAAGAGGATTTGCTGTGAGGATTAATGGCTGGGAAAATAGCTTCAATTCAGAAGGAGGATCAGTGGTATTTCTTATTACCAGTAGGAAAATCAGTTCAGCGTTGTGGTGACTTCATTTGTGTTTCCGCTTCTGGGCTTGGTGTGACTGAGTCACCACTTTCAGAAGTGGCTGATTGTAGCTTACTTTGTTCCAGGCGCTGTGGCTACAGCAAAGCAAAGCAGGATCCAGAAGAGGAAAAGATGCATTTTCATAATGGGCACAGTAAGCACACTGTACAAAAAAAAGAAACAAAAAGAGGGGACTTTATTGTTGTTTTCAGGCTAGAGTATTTACAATAACTGACAAATATATTACTGTTATTTGTTTTCAGGGTCGAGGATTTGTAATAACAGACAGAAATATTATGTTACAAAAGCAAGTGTCTGTGAATACCTTGGTTTTTTTTTTTTTTTTAGTTTTTGGTTTTTCTCTGGTACCGGGAACCGAACTCACGACCTTGCGCTTGCCAGGCAGGCGCTTTTGCCGCTGAGCTAAATCCCCAGACCCAGTGTGAACACCTTCTTATAAAGCCTGTGGGTGTAGGCAGTGCTGATTGGCTACGGCTAAAGCTGCATGTCTCATTCAACTCTTTAAAAGTATTTTCATTATAATCATTAAAATAAAAACCTTTCCTCAATACAAAAGCTATTATATTCCAAATCAAATTTCCATGCTCATTTAATTCCTAGCAACACCGCAAGTAGAAATCTTTCATTAAATAACACTACCAGGTTAAAGGAGTAAAATTTCTGTTTCTTCTTGCTTTATAATGGGAATTACCTTCAAAGAGTACTGTGGCAGCAGCCTTTATTGGGGTGACTTGAAAAGGACTGCATTTTTAAGACATGCATAAACACAGGTTTTAATAATGAGCTTAAAATTGGTTTAAATGAGTTCTAATTATGGTACTTTAGTATGTTCATTTTCTCATAGAGTACAAAGTAAGTGGGTTTGCCAAATAAATGAATTTCTCTTGTTTTTGTCCCCCTGCCATGACCATAATATGCCAAAAAGCATTGATCCCGTTTCATTGTCCTCACATTAATATGGCTTATTATCAAAAAGCACTATCCCAGCGATATTGGCAGTCTTCAAAGTGATAAACTGAGGCTCAGGGAACATCAAAGTCTCCTAGAAAGTCATACAGTGAAGGAGGCAGAGTGAGAAATAGAACTCTCTTGTTCTTTTGACTTCTAACCAGTCTAATTACACTGTACCACTAATATTTTAAATTCCTTGTTAAAAATTGACATCAATAATCTGTATTGCTGGCACACCAGCAAATAAACCACCGGCATTTCATTGTCCAACTTAAGAAGTAAAATGTTCTCCAAGTCTCTCAGGGACCAACCTTGTGAATATTATCATTAAGAGATATATTTACTCTGACATCATCAAATATGCATTTCTTGTGTGTGGCAATCATCCAGGTGTTTTAAATTGTAGAAGTGCTATAATTGTGCAAATGGTTCTCATAACTCAGGAGACAGCCTGTCCTTGCAGCTCAGCTTTTTCTAAGAATTAGAGATTTAAACCAGACTAGCATGTGAATAAAGTTTATAATTTTGCTCATCCATCAAAATTTGAATTTTGATGTCCACTTATTCTTATAGTTAAACTGCCTGGAGTAAGAACCTATATTGATCCACATACTTATGAAGATCCCAACCAAGCTGTCCATGAATTTGCCAAGGAGATAGAAGCCTCATGTATCACCATTGAAAGAGTTATTGGAGCAGGTAGACCTATGTGTTTAACCCTGAACTCATGTTAGTATTACAGAATCTAATGTGTCTGCATCCTGCATTAATGCCAAATGTTTTTACTATTTCGTAGTTGACTCACTTTCAGAGTGATCACATTTTACCACAACCTTCTGGATATGTTGCTGTTCAGATTGTTAATGAAGTTTGGACTTCCCTTTTTACCTTTGTTTTTTGGTCTAAGCTTTAATACTCTAAGAGTCCATTAGAATAGTAGTAGAATAAGAATTTCCAGTAAGTGGGGCTGGGGATATAGCTCAGTGGCATAAACGCCTGCCTGGCAAGCGCGAGGTCGTGAGTTCGATCCCTGGTACCGGAAAAAAAAAAAAAAAAAAAAAAAAGAATTTCCAGTAAGTGTATGCCTCTTTCCCCTATCTTTCTTGCAAGGTGAATTTGGTGAAGTTTGTAGTGGACGTTTGAAACTTCCCGGAAAACGAGAATTACCTGTGGCTATCAAAACCCTTAAAGTAGGCTATACTGAAAAGCAGCGCAGAGATTTCCTGGGAGAAGCAAGTATCATGGGCCAGTTCGATCATCCTAACATCATCCACTTAGAAGGTGTCGTGACCAAAAGTAAGTATCTGTCGGGATTATTATTAATTTTTCAACTTAATTTTCATTTTTATTTGTATTTCATTATTGGATCTTACCATGAGTTCAATGTCCGAGAAAATGTATAGAGATTTAAAAAATGCAATAAAAGTATCAACATTTTTTTTCTACTGGCTTTTCCACTTCTTATACTAATAAAATAATGACTTCAAATTTAATAGGATTTCTGTAACCACAGATGCCGTGCCACCTTTTAAGCAATTCTGTAGCCAGATGTACTTATTTTATTCATTTTTAGTTAAAATATGCTAATGGCTCTAGAGACAGCATCTGCCTCAGAAGCCTGGCAGAGATGCTTGAGGCTTAATTTTGTTGTTGCTGTTGTTTTAAGTCAAGTCTAGTTTTCGCTCAGAGATATCTAAAATTACACATCTCTTTTAAATTTTTGTTCATACCTTGTAAAATTATCTGTGTAGTATTCCTTCCAATAAAACATTTCTAATTGTTTCCCAGTCACATAATAAAGAATTTCCTTTTAGGTCACCTGTTCTTTTTCACTTATGTGTTTTTGTTCCTTATTTCTTTACTTTCAACATAACTTCCCTAAACTTGATTCCAAGCGTTTGTTCAGCCTCCAGTTTCTATGAATTGCATTTTGAAACATACTTGTCAAAGTATGTGTACATGCCACATGTATTCAATGATGCTCTTACTCTGATCTGAATATGTTTAATGTACATTTATTCCATTTGACTTTTAAATACAGAACACAACAAGAACTTTTTGCAGTAAAGAGGGAGAAAAGAAACATAACACAATACTTGCCTGGTCTATAAGGATTCTCAACTCTTTTTTTTTTTCTTTTGGTACCAGGAATCGAACTCAGGACCTTGTGCTTGCCAGGCAAGCGCTGGGCTGCTGAGCTATATCCCTGGCCCAGGGTTCCCAATGCTTGATTCATCTGCAGTGGGTTACAGATAGGAATGCAGAGTCCTCTCACATCCTAGGAGTTCACCACAGTACAAAGTATTCTGAGTGACTGATTGACATTTTGAATCAGGCTGTATTAATGAGAGATGCTGTTTTCTATACTTCAAGGACCCACACATCTCCAGTTAAGATGCTCCCAGCCTGGTGTAGTAAAGGAACAAAATAACCTTTAATAACCTCAAAACCTAGCAGTGTTCCCTTCTCGAGTTGGATACATGCCCATCTTCTACCACCACGACAGCCCATCGAGGACACTGCTGGAGTGAAAAGTGCATTCTGACAAGTTAGTAGGAAAAAAATAACAACTTGCTAAACAAAGGGGGGAAAACGGATGAGAAAGAGGCTGGCAGAAAAAAATAAAAAATATTTTTGAAAGAAACAAAAAATATTGTATAACATTTATATCCTGTGATAAATGTGTGGTAGTGTTCAAATAAGATATGATGTGAAAAATACAGTCCCAGGTACAGTAAAATAAATGTGGATTCAGGTTTGGCTGCGTTGTTTCCATAGAAGCACTTCAGAGGGACCGACCAGTGGGTAGTCACAGGCACTGACGGCTGGGGCAGCAGCGCGCTACCACGTGCTCACCGGCGTGGGAGGCCAGCGCAGGCGCTTGAGGCCAGCCTAGGAAACAGTGAGATCCCGTCTCAGAAAACAAACAAACAAACAAATAAATAAAAAATAAATAAATGAGATAAAAAGACCCAGTACATTTATTTCCTATGTAAGAATCTTATCAAGTAAGAAAAAAATATAGTTCTTAGTGATAATACTAGTAATAAATGTAAGCAAAGTTTTGGTAAACTATATGTCTTCATTACTTCCTTTACGTGGCTGCTAAATTTAACTTCCTAAAAATAAACTCTCACCGTGCCTTCCCATTACCCAGAGTAAATGTATGCTCTGTAGGCAGCTGGTCTACCTTCTGGAATGAGTTAAGATGTGATATTCTCAGCTGTCTCAGTTCACTGTTACTATCACAGAAGCCCGTGTTATGTACTGATTAAGAACAGGGACTATGATCTAGTGATTCCACTTTAATTTTGGTTCTGCTCTAAACGCCTATGTGATTTGGCAAAACTTAAACATCCTGAATTTTAATTTTCTCATCATTTTGTTATTGTAGAGAAAATATGAATTAATATACGTAAAATTTACAATGAGAATGGAACAGAGTATGTAGTGACAATTATATAGTTATATTTCAGATTAACTCTCATCATATGCTAAGATCTCCTCTGGATCTGTATTATTTTTAACTTTGTTAATGCACCTTATGGTTTGCATGCCTGTGTTGCCTCTTTCTCTGAAATTTACACTTTCATATTCACTACCTTGTCTTGTTAGTTCCTTTAGTTTTTTTTTTTTTTCCTTCCAGTACCAGGAATCAAACTGACAACCTTGTGCTTGCCAGGCAGGCGCTGTGCCGCTGAGCTAAATCCCCAGCCCTTGTTAGTTCCTTTAGAATCCTTTCACATTCTATCCATCCCATGAGGCACTTGCCAATCACTTTGCCTGGAAGAAATCATTCATTCCTGAGTGCTCTGCCTGCCCTGTATAAGAATTTTTGCAAGCCTATCATGTTCTTTCTTTGGGTTAAAAGTTCTTATTCAAATCAAACGTCTTAATTTTATAATAATTTGCATACATTTTTCAGCTTCCTAGCTAAACAGTGTGCATCCTTTGAAGATCTAGATAATGTCCTAAATATTTATGTAAATATGTTGTATCAAAATCTGTGCCAATCCATGGATAGCTTATGTTACAAATCTTGAGCATCAGTATCAAACAGAAAAGAGAAGAAAATATCTACCTTAAAAAATACTCCTAGAACTTAAATTCAGATCTGTGTGTAAATGTATGTGAACAAAATTGCAGATAATTGTATTAGTGAATAAGTGTATATTTTAATTGATTTCAGTGAATGTATCACATAACAGTAAACAATATCCAAATATAGAACTAATACATGTTTACATTTATAAACTCTTGATTTCTTACAAGTTTTGTTTTATATTTTGAATACTGACCAAGCTAAACCAAGAAAACTTCTCATATGAAGTATTTGAAATCTTTTGTTTTCAGAAGGTAGTGTTATTTTTTTTCTTTTATTTTTGGTTTTTTTTTTTCCAGTACCAGGAATCGAACTCATGACCTCGTGCTTGCCAGGCAGGCGCTGTGCTGCTGAGCTAAATCCCCAGCCCCCAGAAGGTAGTATAAAAAATGGTCATATGTAGAATCTGTGAATTCTACTCTAAAATGCTACTGTCCTTAGAAAGATATTTTCATTTTCCAATATTCTATTCAAGTATTCTGTTTGATGTTGCTACCCACCATAAAGTTACATATATAAGGAGAGCAAAATGTTTATATCTAAAACATGTCTGCATTTTTAACTTTTTTGCATGCGTGAATTGGTACCATACCACCCCTTTTTAAATATATCTCTTGATGTTCAACTTAGGAAACCTTCAACTTAGTTTAAATTTACCATGTCGCAACTTACTTTATTTGTGTCCTTAATTTCATGCTCTCTGATCTGATGCTAATTTATTCAGCAATTATTCTCAACCTGCAGCACACAGATAATGAGACCTAAGTGCCACCGAATCTTGTGATTTTTCTGATTGAACCTGAGTTGGAGGGTCTGAAGTAGCGCCCTATGGGCGGTGTCACTCAGATGCCACCTTGGTCTTTCCTGTAACTGCCTTCCATGCCAGACGCTTGTGCCCCCGTGAAGATTCCTTCTGTGACTTGTGAGAGAGGCTGTATCATAAATAGATACACAGATATTTTCTAGAGAAGCTTCTTGACAAATAATGTAAAAAACCCACAGGTCCTGGCTTAATTGACTCATTTGCAGTGTGAGACACTTCAGTGAAATGTACAGAGTGCCAAATTTTTACTATTTAATGAGATTCAGAAAAAAAAATAAAAGGAGAAAAAGTTAATAATTTTCCCATTGCAACATACTTAGTTCTTTAAAATTTCTTTTCCCATCAGTGGAAAATTACCCGTACTGACTAAAGAAATGTTTCTGCTGAGTCTTATAATTATTCATGCCTTTATTTCTTAATTTAGGTCATGTACAAATGAGATTATTTCTCTTGTAAACTCAATACATTTAAATAAATTAGAGGAGTCTCTTTTTCTGTGTCCAAGGCAATTACACATTTAATGAAAATTGATTACTTCTATATCCAAAAAAGTTTGACTTACCATGCATTTATAGTTATCTTTCAAATATATTATTTTATTATCTTCCATGGTTATTTTCTTTTTACAGGATCTTACTGTATTTTAGCTAGTACTATTCTAGCAGTCTTTAAATGAGTCTCCCATTGTGCACTTTCCCAGTTTAGTCTACACCATGCACACTGCCTTCCTTTAAATTTTACACAATGCTTACCTGTCATGTTTCATTAATAACAAGCAAAAACAAAAACAAAAAACCCTGACCCACGTACATATCCTTTGGTTTTTCAGCTGATGTCCTGTAATTTGGACACATCTTCACACCTCATTATTTCCTTTCAGAAGCCCTGCTTGGTTCTTGTGCTGTCCTTCTGAGGTACTTTACTCAGCTCTAGCACATCCTCCCACTTGGCACTTCACCATCAGGTGTACTTGCATGGAACCTTCCTCATGACACAGTGCCGTTCACCTTTATTTTTTCTTCAAGCTTGAGAATCTTATGGTAGAGAGTTTCCATAACGTGGACTCATTGAGTAACAGAAAGCCTTCCAGGTCTGTATTGCAATACAAGCTTCCAAGTGCAGACTTCAAGGAGCAAAAGAACTTGTTTTGTTCAATTGATTATTTCTAGATCAGGGCCCAGCCTATCTTGAGACCTTACATGTTTGTTCAGAGAATGAATTTTCAACCAAAGGCAATATTAACGATGGCAGCAGCATGTCTCTGCACTTTGTAACACTGTGCATTTTGTCCTGGTTATATTTACACACACTTCTAACAAAATACACTCCCTGAAACCAATGAAAGCGTATGGGCCCCTTTATGTCTACAAC